AGGGGGACTGCGTTTTCGGTTTCGGTTTCTCTTTGCTTCTTGCTGTACAGACTACCACCGGCTGGCTGGTTCGCACTGTAAGTAAGGCTTTTCCCTATTAAATACCCTTATATTTCTACCTGACTCCGTATTGGTAATTACCTACTATAGAGACCCTAGGAGAAGAAATGAGAAAGTCCTTTAAAGAAATGTAAGAAAAGACAAATGAAAAATTTTAAGAAACAATTCAAACAGTGCAAGGTTTGAAAGCTGAAATAGAGACAACAACAACAACAACAACAACAACAACAACAACAAAAATCCCACAGTCTTAGGGAATGCTGTAATTAGAAAAGATGGGCAAACAATCAGGAATTACAGATGCATGCATAACCAAACAGAATAGAAGAGATGGAAGAGAGAATCTCAGGTATTGAAGATACACTAGGAGAAATAGATTCAGTGACCAAAGAAAATCATAAGTCCAACAAATCCTTAACACAAAATATCCAGGAAATATGGGACACCATGTAAGGGCCAAACCTAAGAATAATAGGTATAGAAAAAGGTGAAGATACCCAACTCAAGGTGCAGAAAACATATTCAACAAAATCATAGAAGAAAACCTTCCCAACCTAATTTCATGACAATGAAAATACAAGAAGACTACAGGACAGCAAACAGAGTGGACCACAAAAAGTCCCCTCATCACATAATAATTAAAACACCAAACATACAGAATAAAGAAAGAATATTAAGAGCAGCAAAGGAAAAATGCCAAGTATACGTCAAATGACGTAGACAGACTTTGATGATCCCCCATGTGAGGCTTAACACTCCCTGGAGAGTGGGGTCCAGTATTTGGTACGCCATTTGATTAAATATGATCTATATCCTAATTTGATTTTACTTAGCTAAATTCCATAATTTGTTAACATGTACTCAATTCTTGATGTTTTCAATTAGTTTAAATTTTTACAATGATATTAGCTGTGAGAAGGTAAGCAGATACAGTGCCTGTTGTCGGAGAAGCATGGTTTTAATAGGGTAATGACAAATGAATGAAATATGAGCCTAGTTCTCATTGGGAATACCTCAGTGAAGCAAAGATGTAAAACACAGTGCATTAACTAGAGAAAGTGGAAATGGAAGGGATTAGAAAACAGTGAGTGGGCTCTTTTTATATGGAAGACAAAGGAAACAGCACTGAGGTGGTGTTGTGCACCACCAAAGAGATGTCTCCTCTCCCAGACAGATAGAGCAAGAGCAAACCAGATGGAAGCATGTTTTTTTTTTTTTTTTTCTGTATTCATTGTTAAACCATTTATTCATGTAATATATCTTATTTTTGGAACTACTTGAATATTTCATACCTTTGGAGGCAATCTTTATGGCTACTATATCAACCAACCTCTCGTTTGGCTTCCCTTTTGTTTTACACATTACCTTTTACAAATTAATTTCACCACAGTAGCTGCATATACAAAGTAAAAAATGCAAAAGAAAACTGACAGTCTCATGATGACAAAGTCTACCCATTTGCAGTATCCCCAACCCAATTGGCTGGAGAGACCTTAATCTGTTTTAAGACACTTTCATTTATTCAGTTGTTTATCTATATTTTTATTAGCCACTGGTTTGTTCATATTTGTAAAATAATATATTCTCATATTCTACAACCATGACTTCATTCTAAAAGGATATTATTTTTTCTTAACAGAAATGGTGATTCTATTTCCCCAAGTCTGCTGCTCTTCTTCCCCATTTTCCTGATATATTAGTACATGATTTCATTTGATTTTGGTTTTTGTGTATTTTGTTTCATATGGTTCAGGGTCTCACTTGACAGTGATGGTCTAGAAATTGCTATAAAGACTAGGCTGTAGACACAAGGGGTTGGGCCTAGGCCCTATCCCAAAGGATGACAGACTCTGAAGACCCCCTATGGAAAGCCTTACCCTCTCTGGGGAGCAGAAAGGTATAGGATAGGTGGGGTGTTAGTTGCGGGGTGGGGGGTAGGGAAGGAAAGGAGGCAGAGGGAACTGGGATTGACATGTAAAATAATCTTGTTTCTAATTTAAATTAAAAATGGAGAGAAAGAAAACAAGAATTAAAATCTAATAAAGTTTTCTTAAACAGTGAAAAAAAAAAAAAGACTAGGCTGGCCACAAGTTACAGAAGTCCACCTGACTCTGCCTCCTGAGTGCTGGCATTATATGGGTGTGCCCTATACATGGTGATTCCATTTAATTATAATAGTTCAGCAATATTGTGCCTTTTTTTTTAAATCTATAGCTGGGTGTGAAATGATTTGAACATTTTCTTTACCCTGAAATTAACAGTTGCATCATCTTTTATTTTCTTTGCGTGCTTTACCTAATCCACTCTTTTAAGTTTATAAGATAACTCATCCTCCTACCCCCCCTTTTTTTCTAGAAAAGCTGTCTCACCGGTCCTTTTCCAGAATATCCTCTGAATTTCCTCTTACCTGCCAAAGAGTTCTTATTCTGGGCTCCATCTTCATCTACCCAATAAATACAAAATCCCTACAATTTTAAATACTATGACTTCCTGTCCTTTGCAAAGCTTGCACTTCCTATATTTTCTTGTTTCTTTATGCTCCCTTACTGTTTGTGTATATCTTTAAATATTAGCCATTTTTCACATGTGATACCCTTTGAGTATCTCCTAGTGTTAAAGTGTAAAATGTTAAACATTAACTAGAGAATTGAACCAAACTCTGATATGGAATTTCTAATGGTCGGGTGATGAATTCATCACTTGCTGGTACATGTCTCTATAGTGATTTTTAAAATATGTACTTTTGAGGGATTTTCAATCACAGTGTAAACCCCAAGTTTGTGTTAGCATTTATTAAATAAAATCAACATTGGGTCAGGAGTTAGAGCCAGCAATGAGTTGAAGGAAAATAATCATAAAGAGTCAGATGAGAGTCTGGAAGAAGGATAGAGAGATACACAGGAAGTAGTAGGGAGGAACTGTGAGTGTGGTGCTACTTTTTGCTTTGGGGCTATGGAAGAGCCACTGTTTCTGAGATGCTGGGAAAGAGGGAATGTTCATCTAGCTGCTCCTCAACCTCTCTGTGCTAGCAGGTTTCCACCCCAGCCTCTGACTCCCAAGTCCTATTGATAAATAGAATGATAGAGATTAAGCTAAAAACTACAGTGACAGAGGTGGATTCAGTGGGAATGTATGCTTTCTAATTTAAAATGGTTAAATGTGATTTTCCCTAAGGTGTTATTCCTCACATACTATACTTAGTAAAGAAACCTTTCCCACCTTAAAATTTTATAGTTACTCAATT